CTCTCCCTCTCCCTCTCCCTCTCCCTCTCCCTCTCTCTTTCCTCCCTCCCTCTCTCTCCTATACAGATAGTAACCCCAGTGAAATATTGTGCTTGGGGTTGGAAGAGTCTACCTCCACTTCTCACTTCCTTGAACTCCATAGCAACACATGTCCCCTGTGCTGGGCAGCTGGAGGTGTTCAACAATGACACAGTCACCCAAGCCACAGCTAACAGACTCGAAGTGTGGGAAGGCACACAGCCAAATTCTCTTCCCTAGTGGGTGAATGATGAAGGTGTGGTCACTGGACACACAGAGCCCTGCAGATATCCGCCCACTTCTCCCAGACCCCTTAACACATTCTGGCATCCCCACTGAGGGTAGCCTTCTGAGAACACAGATCCAGATAACACAGGAATGAACAAGGTGCCCATTCATTCCAGTTGTCCTTTCAGTTTATTTGCATAAAATAGATCCCCTGTTTTACCCCTCACTTTCTGGTCTGGCATCAGTCTGACCTCAGAGGGCTTTTGACCTTGTTTTTTTTTTTTTTTTTTTTAAATCAACTCCATTTTTCTAGTGTGAACTGAAAACCAGGCACAATTCAAGCACCTTTAAATTATATTTAGTAAACATCACTCTGAACCCCAAGGTTGCTTTAAATTCACCTTAGTTAAAAATCACAGGTTTTTCCCCTCTTAAGGAGATACACATACTTCCATGCTTCTGTCTGAATGTGAATATATACTAATTTATATTAAGTGATTTCTTATAAAAGTCACTATGTAGAATAAATTTTTGCTATAGACCTAGAATGATCTCAGCTGTAGTAATTAATTTCTGTGTTAAACAGATACAAACCAGCTTTAAAGAAAATGCAGTGTTTTCTTAGTTTACTGGGAAACTATAAGTGCCCTTAGCAAACTCTACTTAAGCAATGTATTTTAAACTCATCCTTCAGAAGTCCCTGTTACCGAGTAACTTCACAGAAATGGCTAACTGTCCAGATACAAGGCTCATTTTCTGTGCTGTTGGCAGGCAGAGAGTTTAAGTTAACAATAAGCTTATTGAAGAATTTACTGCCATTCAGATGTGTTCCTATTTAAACCTTTCAGCCAAGCCAGAGTCAAGAGTTGATCTGCATGCATCATTTTTACTGCTTTTGCCAAGAATTATGTGACTATGTGCCAAAACTAACATAACCACTTGGAATGGGTGGGGTCGTGAGCTCTTAGCCTACGGCCTTCGGCTTGGCCGCATGCCGCCTGTGTTTAGACGATGTGAAAATTCCAAGCCTGTGTAGTCAGTAAACGAGCTGTGATGTCAGCCATAGTTAATAAGTCAGGCTCCCCAAAGGCAGCGTGGTTACCAACCTTGCTGGAACACAGGGTGATGGAGAGCAGGCAAGGGAAGCCCCTCCGTGGCTGCAGGTTCACGGAAATAGGCTTCCAGCCAGGCTGTGCACTGCACCAGGGGCTCTGGCACTCCCTCTGGCCCACCGAGCACCTCAGGAGTAGCTGGGGCCTCTGTGGGACTGCAAAAAAGGATAAGAAGCTTAGTGACCACATGTGTGAAAAGCATACCTACTGCAGCTAATGGGGGAAGGCTGCCAGCCACTCCCCAGTGTGTGTCTCTGCCAGACAGAGAGAGAACTGCAGATAACAGAAACGGTCACAGAGGGATGTTGGGTAGAAAGGCACGGCAGTTCCCATGTCTGCTTTTCTATCTCCAGGTTTATTAAGTGCAGGGAGAGCCCAAATCATGCATTCCAAGTTTCTGCATACACAGTGTCTGGGGATGGGAACCAGCAAATTGACACATAGGAACATCTTGTGTCCTTGGTTTGAGACTGGAAGTCACCATCATCAGGTAATCGCCACTAACATTTTCCCTAAACACCAGGCAATTAGACTATATTATGCATGTCCCATCTCTCACCCTGGATCCTCACAGCAGAGGGGCATCCCTTCTCACATGGCTTTGGGCTCCATCTTTGGAAGCTCCTACGAGTACATGGATCCATATTCCCTCGCACCGATGTGAAGTGACATCACCTTGTGTGTTTAATGCTCTGAGGCTAGCGGGCTGACCCCCTCTTAAGCCTCGGATGTCTAGTTGGAGGTGCTTTAGTAACAAACCATCCTGCTCAATCTCTGCAGGCCCTGTCCTCTGGTGGATGTCCAGGAATTTAAAACTGAAATATTTCATAGCCGCTCTGGATGGTTTCTTACTGCTCCTACATGGGTCCATCTTCTGTTCCTTGATTTAGAGTCCACTGTTCATGCTCAGCTGGGGTCTGCTCCAGGTTTTGCTCCACAGGCTAGGAACACAGGCTGTAAAGGAAGGCCATTTCTATGTTCTGGGCTCTGAGCCTGGAGTTTTACGGCAGACTCGGTTTTCACTTCAATTTTCTGGGATCCACACCCAAGAGGCATAGACTGGATTCGATTTCTCTGGTGATTTTCCCCCTCTTCATTCTCAGGCTCTAAACTAGAGCGTGCTTCTGTATGACTTTCTGGGCCTGGAAAGTGCAGCTTCTCTGGGATTTCTCAGGCAGTCCAGTGTCACAGTGCTCATGAGAAGACAGAAAGGCCAGGATGGTGTAGAGGGCAAAGACTCCTTGGAAGGTTAATCTTGCCAGTCTCCTTTGGCTCCTACATACGGTAAAGGTTGGCACATTCATTCACTCCATGGGTCTTTCTCCACACATGGGCATCCTGACCAGGAGGGGAGATCTTTACACAGCTTTGGGAATGGGGCCCTCCCTACACAGGTGTGACTGGGGGAGCAACTGAGGGCCAGGAGAGCCCAGGTCAGGCTGTCTGAGTAAAGCTGGTGGAGGCCAGGATGGGCTCCACAGACTGGAGTTATCAGAGCTACTGTGGGTCAGTTTTGGATAAAGACTAAAGCAAAACCCAGCAGGGCCAGACCTCAGAGGTAGGGCAGGAAGGTCTCAAGTCACAAGAAGAAGACGAGCTGGGCAAGCAGGGTCAGAAGGTCCTATGGCAGAGTATCCCATGAGCATGAGTGAGGGGGTCTTTAAGTAAGGATCTTACATGTGTGGAGATGCAGGGTACTGGTGCACAGTTCCTTCCCTTTGTGTACTATAGATTTGACTCACTCAGGGCAGTGACACACGTCAGACAGAGCCTTGCAAACAGGCCCATTGTAGATGCTTAACTGCCTACGACAGCGTCTTGGTGAGGGATTTTGTGTCTCCACTGTCTTTGTATCTTTCAACACATATACTTCCAGGGTGGGATGCATAGCAGGGTTCCTCGTGCTGGTTTCAGAGAGGGCAGGAAGTCATTCAGAAAAGGTCTCAGAAGCAGCTAAACACTCAGGCCCCCAGGAAGGAATGGAGGATGGATGGAGAAAGCAGTCACAGTCCTTGAAGATACTGTGGCAGTGGTGGACAGCTGAGGGAAGCAGTCAGGCCTGGAGGGGTCGGGGAGATAGCTGAGCTGGTAGTGCTTGCTGCATAAGTTCGGCCATCTCAGTTTGACTCTTGGTGACCGAGTGAAAAGGCTGGGACCATGGCATATGTGCACATTCAGTGCTGGGGAGGGGAAGACAGCCTAGCCTGCTTGCTGAGTTCCAAGCCAGTGAAAGACCCTGTTTCAAAAAGATGGACACCATCCAAGGAATGACACCCGAGGCTGTCCTCTTCACCCTCCGCCTCCACACACATACAACCAAGCCCTGACCTGGCTGATCCTGGGGCTATCGCAGGCCTTTCTGAAGCTGCTACACAGGGTCCTCATTCAGCCCTGTGCCGGAACAAACAGGTGCAGTGTCAGTTCAAGTCGCTGCTGCCTGTATACCCCAGGTGGGCCCCAGGGATGACAGCTCGCTCCACATGCAGACTACAGGCCTCTCTTGGGAGTCTCCTGGGGAGATGGAACTGTCTCATTGCCCTGACTGTTTTTCCTATTAGCAATGTCTGATCATGGCAGGGAGAACTTCCGCCTGTGCCTGGCTTAGATATTACTCAATTTTAAAGATACATGCTCAGTCATTCTATTCTGGTTCTGTAGCTCACTAAGTGAATGGAGTATCATGGATGTCTAAAAGAAGAGATGGAGAAATATATAATGTACCTTGCCCTCTTGGTCTCTGGGGATAATGGGAGAACTGATGGAAAAGATGTGGTATCTGCTGGAGGTAAGCATGTCCCTCCAGATCAAGGCAGCCAGTAAGCAGCCTGTCATCTTCAGGGTTCACTCCACCTACTCAGACTGGCAGTGAATAAAATTCATGTCCATGTGCACAGACCCTCAACCAAGGACATAGAAGGGAAAGAAAGGTTTGCCTTTTGGTCCTACACCAAGCTACCAACTCTTCACAGAACAACAGGAGTGTAGGTGGGATGCAGTAGGTAGAGTTAAGACAGGTAGCTAACACTGACTAGTACCTCAACATCCAGGGCAGGATGCTGGATGCTGATGGGCCCCAGACATAGGGGTCCTGAGGGACATTGATGTTCACTGTGTGTGGGAGTAATTTAGGCATGGATCTGGGGTTTCTGTATTTCCCAGTGACTGTTCAGAGGCCTCTGCTGCCCATAGTGGCCTTCCCTCCATCTTGTGGAGGGCAAGCCGTGTTTCCTAGCATTTCCCGTTCTTAAAAGGATACGTGAAGAATTTTTATAGTAGTAAAATTCATCTTAAATTGATTTTTTATGCTCGTGCTAAAGATCTCACCTCTGATTCATTCTGGGGTTCTCTTTTTAACTCTTCCTCCATCGGTACTAGATAACTAGCCATGGGTGAAATGTAATTAAACAGCTTTGATTCCGAAGCAAGGATTTATGGGGCTACATTTAAAATGAATGGCTTTAAACACACACATAAAACCAGATTTTTAAAGCCATGACACAAATTTCCATTTCTACAATAAAATGAAATTTATTCTCTTGCCCTGCCCTCTTCCTCCAACCTTCCCCCGCTGTTCGTCCAGGAAAGTGCTATGGTGTGACAGCAGCACTAACAGCTGCTCTTATGATGGAGGAGTTTCTCCAGACCTCCCTGCTGACGAACCCTGAAACTAACAATTAGGGGCTTCGGGCCTCACTCTTTTAAATACCACATCCAGGGTTCCTCAGCACCAGCCCTGAACAGGATGCAAACCCCTGAGAACTGCTCAGTACTGCACTTGGCATCCTTTGGAAACACTTGCTCCAACCCCAGTGGTTGACTTCAGTCCAGCTCTCTAGGTCAGCATGTTATCTGTTCCCGTGGAGGAATAGAGCAGTGAAGACTGGGACACAAGCTCCCCTTTTGCTCTTTAACTTGGCATTGGAAGAAGGCTGAGGGCTGAAAACAGAGACTTCACTTCCTTAAGCTATCATGGGAGGATGGAGGATGCATTTTAACATATCGAGGTTCAGGTCAACTGAGGCCTGTTCCTCAAGGGTTTCCTCAAGAAACTAACAACTGTTTCTAATTCCAGGACAAGTGTATGCTGCCTTCTGCAATTGTGAAAACAGGCCACATGCAGTTGTGTTGCCACATATATCTATGTAAGGGTCTCAACCCATTTCCCTCCCTTGGCTTTGAGAGAGGACTACCCATGGTGCATGGCGGTGTGGACCATGTCTTTCAAGATTTCACTCAATAAAGAAAAGTGGCTCCACAGCCCCAGTCCAGACTTATAGTAGATGAGCAGCTGTTCTTCCTGGGTGAAGTTTGCATGCCAAGACATGGACACCATCAGGAACAGAACATAAGATTGGTATGAGACAATAATTCAGTCAAGACTAAGGGAGATGGCCCCAGTGCTGTGGTGTGTGCATCTTGTCTTCTGAATCCTGTCCAGTTAGTTAACTACTGAGTGGAGACCGGAGATGGCAAGGCTCTGTGCAGCAAAGCCATAGCCTCCTATAGGAGCCTTGCCTGGGGTCTCATTCTTTACCAAGTGATGACATGTGCATGCCATGCTACAAGGGGAGCATAAAGGGCACACCTGTCAAAGCCTCCTCCCATCTTTCCCAGAGTACAGATTTGCCCAATAATTTGAAATATGGCCCAGCCCATTGGAGACTTCAGTATACAGATCTTGGGATGCTTCAGAAGGTCCTTGGAGGAGAGAATCACTAAAAGCTCATTTCTCAGTGACTTCTACCTCCCCAAGACAGTAAAATAAACATACTTGCTTTAAACACCATGGGATGTAAGAAAATAGGCTATGATTTCTTTAGAATCATTCACATGTGACAGGACCATGTAATGACAGTCACCCTTAAGATGGGTGTTGCTATGGGACAATCAGGATGCAGAATGACAAGATCACATGCTCATGCCATTTCCTCTGTGACCCACCCTCTCCCTCCCCCACCCTCAAAGATGACTTTTCAATCTATGCTTTGGGAATGTTCACTATGACAGTAGAGGGTCATACACAAAGAAAGCTATAGACCAGATTTCTTCCAGACTCTGGCAAGGAGCCAATGTAGGCTGTGTCCTTCAACCTGGTATAGAGGAAGCCGCGTGGCAACATGTGGAGTTCCTGGCAGGGCTCTTAATAGGAGGAGAG